CTTTCCTGTGAGTGCGAAACATTCATTTGGTGAGAGGGTCCCTGTTTCAAATCTACCTGGGAAAATCGACTAACAGAATTCCATTCTTGTAGACACAGGCACGTCATTCTGCAGGAGCTCTGAAACTCCTGCAGCAAAGACATCTATTCAACTTTGAGCCACACGCTATTTACCAAATGTACTTGATGTACCTGACCATGACCTTCTCTGACCTCTTTATTTTTTCAGTGAGCATTAGAGCTGTGAAACAGATCGTGAGAGTTCAGGGACTTGTCCAAGGCCACACAGATTTTGCATGCCAGAGATGGAGCTAGATTTCATAAATCTGACATAAACTGGCTTTGGAAGTCTCATGCTGAGTTTATGTAGCATATAAATCCCTTCACTGGCCTCATAATTTTCCTACATGTCCTCAAATCCCATACTTCTGTATTGCTCCTGAATGGCTCACCTTGGGTTCTGAGCTTTAGCACTCATGTTCCCTGGTTTTTAGTAAATACAAAAGGGATTTCCATGGAAGAGGGCTACCAATTAAGTCCCTCTAAAATGAGCCGTTTATGCTGATTCAACAGTCTCAGGTTTGGATTCCTCTTTTCTCTGACCACAGCTACTTAAAACTGAGAGTTCAGAGAAGAGAAGTGAATATGGGAAGAACACAGACCATCAGACATGAAATTAGAATCACAATAAAATAATATCTGTAGAGTACTTAGGTTATGGCATGTGGTGTTCTTTTAAAAAAATATTATATTGATTTTTTACAGAGAGGAAGGGAGAGGAATAGAGAGTTAGAAACATCGATGAGAGAGAAACATTGATCAGCTGCCTCCTGCAAACCTCCCTCTGGGTATGTGCCCGCAACAAAGGTACATGCCCTTGACTGGAACATGGGACCTTTCAGTCCGCAGGCCGATGCTCTATCCACTGAGCCAAACCGGTTAGGGTGGTGATGTTCTTAATACTTCACAACCATTAATTCATTTAATTATTCAGCACCGCATGCATTAATACCCTCATTTTATAGGGGGAAAACTGAGGTAATAATAAGTAACTTGGCTTAATGTCACATTGCATAACTGGGAAGTTAACTCAGTCTGACTTGAGAGTTATTGCTTTTAACTACCATGTTAGTGAAAGGAGTAATAAAAAGGATAACCATGTTTTATAGCCTCAGCTGAGGTGCCCAAGAATCATTCCAGTCCTTCTGGCAGCCCCATTTGGCCAACTCTCCTGCTATGATGCCAATCCCACAGATGAGGAAACTGAGGCACAGAGAAGTCAAGATCCTCACCCAAGAACCATGGTGTGTGGGACAGAGCAGGGCTGACTGTAGCCAGGTCCAGAGCTCTTAGCCTCTTACAACACACTCTCAAGATGGCTTTTTTCTTCTCTTTTTAATCTTTGTGGTCATTTCTGTGAACAGCAGTGTTTTAGCAGGAGAAGCCAAAAAGAAACAACAACAAAAGTCAAACCCATAAGAAATACATTTCAGCTATAAAAACCCTTGGGTGAACTTAAAAAAAGAAAATAAACAACCATCCAAAGGCTGGGCGAATGTTGTGAACTTTTCTCCTTTACGTTTATTGTACATTCGGTGGACAGGCAGTGTTATCCAAACAGATACAGATCTCAAACCAGGGCTTTGAGGGGTGATGGCTCTGCAGAAGTTTCTGAGATTTGGTATAAAAGGGAGGGGTAGGCCTTGGGCTTACTTTATGCTTGCACTATGACTATACATAAACCACTCCGCTGCAGTGCCTCAGTTTACTCATCTGTAAAATGACAGGGTGGGTCCTTCCTTAGGTTCTTTTGCTTCTACGAAATTATAATTTTAATTTTTAGAAAAGAAAGACCCGTTTTAGCTTCTAAGCATGGACTAATTTTATTCCAAGTCAATGCTTTCAGGCCTAAAACTGAGTCTCAGCCTTCCTCTTCATTCCCTCAACCACGGTCTTCCATTCTGAAATGTGCACAGAGTAGTTGGGAGAGTTTATTTCTCCTCTGGAGCAGCTTGGAAAAAAAAAAGTTAATAGGAAGCACATGGGCATGGTGTGTGAGCGTTCTGTGTGTTTGTGTTTGAAAAAAATTCTTCAGGAGGAATATGTCAGGCTTGCAAAATGCCTGGGCTGTCTCAAGAGCGGTTTATGGCCATTAGCATTAGACTGAAGGCACTTAATTGGGACAAAGTCCAGCTGCTGCTGTAGCCTTTCTGGCATTCTGGCCATAAGGAAGATTAAGAAAATAACCTGGACTATTCTCATGGTGGGGCAGGTGAGGAAGAGCAAGAGATCTTTTTTCCATTTGTGAGGAGTTGGTGGGGATTGCGGTGGTGGTGGGGTGGGGTGTAGGCCAGGCTAACCCATGGAGAATCATCTCCTAGAAGAATATGCAAGAGTTTGAGGGCTGGATGGTGTGCTGGTTATTCTTCTGGGCTCTGGAGTGCAATTGCCTGCCTCCAAATCCCACCGCCACAGCCATGTGACCTTGGCCAAGTTACGTTGCCCTTTTGTAGCTCAGTACCTCCACTTGTAAGAATGGGATCATGACAGAGCCTATGCCATCGGCCTATTGGGAAGACAAAAGGAATGGCGTATATGCAGAGCTTAGGAGACCTGGAGGAGTCCTGGAAATAACACTAGGAGGATCAGCGTGAGCTCCAAAATTCCAGAAACCCGAGTCAGAATCCCAGCTTGGAACACTTGGGCTCTGTGATCTCAGGCAAGCCACCTCTCCTCTCTGAGCCTCGTTTTCATTATCTGAAAAGCAGAGCTGACAATGCCCACCTCCCATGGTTGCTGTAAGGACCAGAGGGGAAATAACATTATGCTTCACAGCCTGGTCCAGGGAAGGCGCCTGCTTCACCTTCTAACCTCATTTCCCTTACTCACTGTACCAAGGTTCATGAGTCTGCTTTGGAGTCCTTCAACAATGAGAGCCTTTTCTTACCTCAGGGCCTTTGCTGTCCCCTCTTCCTGGGCTGTCCTGACTCCAGCAAATTTTTTTTTATCACTCAGGTCTCCCTCGCCACCTGAGTAATGTCCATCACTATTCCCCAACTCACTGCCCATCACACTGCCCTGTTTTTGTCTTTTGCAAGCTTTACCAATACTTGTAGCCACCTATTTATTTGTTGATTGATTATTGCCCGTCCCTCTCCTTGAGAGAATTGTCTTTGTTGACTGCTGTACCCCCAGGGTGACAGGCATACAGCTGGTGGTCAGTAATAGAGGATAAATGATGAGTGGATGGGGAGCCATGTCTATATAACTTAACTCACTAATTACACAGCAGGGAGGGGCTACCAGAATGGGGGAGAGTGGACTATGTTTGCTATTCAACCTCTGCAACCTTAGATACCCAAGGCAGTAAGTTCTGATGCTATTGGCAGAGCTGGGAAAAAAAACCAACAACTGGCTTGAGATTGGCCCAAATGCAAGTTCAAGTTCAGTGTCTTCAAAAACCTTTATTATTAAGATTGGTACTACAATTCACTCTGCACTTAGAGAAGGTTCCTTCAAGGGAACTCAGAAAAGCAACTGTGGGATGACAGAGGTGACAACAGAGGAGGAGGAGATAGGGTAGCATGGGCTTTGGAGTTGGAATTCTACCAGACCACCAAGAGAGCCGAGTCAGTCTGTTTCTTGTTGCATTTGTAGATCAGTCATTCCCTCTATGTCTCAGTTTCATCTCCTGGAAAATGGGAACAATACCAGCACCAATGTTGTGTAGTGTCATGAAGACTGTATCAGATGACCCAGCAACATCAGGTGGCATGTGGTGTCTGGCCAATGTCAGCTGATAGTGCCACCAGCAGTCTGCTGCAGACTTTTACATGGAAGTATCCCAAGTGCAGGGCATCAGTGCTTAGCGCCTGTTTATCCTACATACTCCTATGATTATTTGCTGAATTTTCCACAATGATTTTACCTAAAAGGCTGGACTTGACATCCATTTTAAAGAATGTAAAGTGACAATATATGCAAATAGTTTTAAAAGAGAAAAGTACAGTCACTCATTAGCCCACCACCTTGTCATTACCTCTTCAGGCTCGCATATACCTTTCAGACCCTTGATGGTCATTTTCAAGAAGAAAAAACACTAGGATGGAGATCTCCAAAAATACTGCCACCAGCCCTCTGGTCCATGCATCGGCCCTAACATGCTCCCAATGGTGGATTGGAGAAGAGAAGGGCCCACTGGGGGTAAAAGGGTGGAGGTGGACACAGGAGAATCTCATAGGCCAGTTTCTTGGCCTATTTGAGGAGGGAGTTATGCACTGGAGTTCTTCTCCTCCGAAGGCCACCTTATGGGGATGTAGCCTTCAACCATCTGCTGAAATAGCTCCTTTACTTGCCTGGCCACTGCTCCCACCACCCAGCACTTCTGTGAGTGTGCAGTGAACTTCCTGTCTATCACACTTAAAATCAAAGCCAACAGCCCTCAAGGCCTGTGTGATTCAGCTCTGCCTTCTCTCCAACACTCTCACCTCCTATGTCCCTGACTCTGCTCCAGCCTTGCTGGTCTTAGTTCTGTGCTTCAAATATGCCAAGACATTTCCCTCCATACAGTGTTTGCACTGGTTTTTACTCTGCCTGGAATGCTCTTCCCCTAGGTCTGCACATAGCTGGCTCCACTCACCCTTTGGGTTTTTGTCCAACAAAGAGTCTTTCCTGATGACTCTATCTAAAGTTACATATCCAATGCCTTTTGACCCCCACCCCTCCACAACTGCTCATCACTGTCTATCCAAACACCACACTCATTTGCTTCTATTTGCACTCAACTCCTCCCAAATTAGTTGGTTTACTTGTTGCTTTGTTTAGTATCAGTTTCTGGGAGGGCAGATCTCACATCTGTTTTGTCCACCACTGTAACTCCATTACTTGATATAGATCCTGGCACATAGTAGGTACTCAAATCTGCTGAATAAAGGAGTGAATGACACCCAACTCAGGCAATGCCTTGGAGAGGGCAGGGAGGGGCCGCAGCGCCACACTGACCGTGCATCTGATAGGTGTACGGGCTCTGTCCGGTGGGTGGGGTGCTGAAGCTGGAGCCATAGCTGAGGAATCCACTCTGGCCGGGGGAATGGTTCAAGCTGTCTTCTGTCTTGATGCCTTGGAAAGAGGAAGAAGAAGCACCAGGGACACGAGATTAGGATGCTCCCTTATCACCCGCAGAAGAGCTACTGAGTCGAGACAGTGTGCAGGTTTATCCGCTTCCAAACCAGGAGTTGCAAACTGTTGGCTTGAGTCTACGGACATATTTTGCTATGCCTGCATATTTTTAAGGAAAATCTGTTTTTGTTTAAAAATCAGGAGGATTTCACCCCAAAATCTGTACTTACACTTTCTCTTCAGCAATGCGATGGTGCTATGCCTGCGTTCCCATGTGACAACAAGCTACTAGAGGCTTCCCGGGTTGCGTATGCGGGTCACCCCGGATTCTGTGCTGTCTCTGAGACACTGAGGCTGGTTTTAAGGTGCTATATCTTGCACATGTGGCCAGCTTCCTGCTTCCTGCCTGCCTCTGAAGGAAGTGAGTTTACAACCCTCTACTCCATGGAGCAGCACCCTGTATGGTTTAAAGTTCATCAGGAGAAGATGTTAAATGGACCATCCTTCCTCTATAATGATGATTCCACTTAGCTCCAAGACACGCTCTTTGTTTGTTTGTTTGTTTGTTTTGGAGGAGGGGGAAGAGATGCTTATCCAAAGGCCACAGTTACAAATATGCCTCTTGACCCCAACCCCTCCACAACTGCTTATCACTCTCTATCCAAACACCGACTCATTTGCTTCTAGTATCAGTTTTGCCTCACTGACATCTTCTCCAAACTACAGGCTCTAATCCCATGAGCAACTGGCTGGGGAAAGGATTATATCAAGGGGGGCTAATCCACTATCAAAAGCCCAGATATTGTATTTTCATTGAAAATGTAATAAACTTTGATTGTCTTATAGGTATAAAATAGTACTTTGATATTATTTAAATGTGTGTCTTTAAAAGAACATTTCTAGTTCTGGGGATGGTTTTGTAATTGTGGTTTCCCTTCTTCTCACCCATTCACTCCCATAAATGAAGAGAATGCTTAGAAAGGTAAAATGATTCCTTGATGACTAGGACTTGGCTTCTTTTTATGAAGTAACATACTGATACTTGCCAGCAGGGTTGTCAGGAGATTAAAGGAAGGGGAAAGAATGAACATACCAGGCTCTGAATGAGGAACTTAGCCACATACATCTCTTTCATTCTCATAACGCTCCCACAGGACAGACAGCATTGCTTTTCCCATTCTAAAGATAGGGAAACTGAGGTTCAGAAAGCCAGGCTACTCAATGGGGTCTCACAATTGGCCAATAATTCTTAAGTCGAGGTTTTCCCTTCCTTCTCTTGCTGCATCTCAATAATGGGTGTGAAAGGATTTTAGGCAATAGATGGCATAGGATTCAGGAGCAATCATGGTGACAGCAATAAGCAGTATTACAGGCACTTTCTTTTGCTCAGTCTGATAAGAAGGTTAATGGTGTATAGTGTACCTAGAGTCAAATTTAAACTCCTTGGGTGGCTCCAAGGTCCTACATGACCTCTGCTCACCTCTCTGACTTTTGCTTGCTCCACGCTCCCTCGCTCACTCTTCTCAAACTGTGTGCTCATTTGTTTTAGTGGCCAGATAAAAATCCAAAGTACGAATATTACTGTTTATTCAGCCAGTCCCCTGATGATGGACTCTAGATGGATTCTAATTTTCTGACTATTACCACCTGTGGCAGAATGGACATGCCTCCTCATACAGGATTAGAATGCTTGTCTAGCTTGGATATGAGAAGTAGAATTGCCGAGTCCAAGAGCATGTTCATTCTTCATTTTAAATAGATATGAAAAGAACTCTGAGCATATGCTCATTCACTCATTCATTCCACAAACACGCAAACATTCATTCCACAAACATACACCAAGGTTGTAAATTATGGTCCATGGTCCGAATATGACTTTCTGCTTGTTTTCGTAAACCACATTCTATTGAAATACAGCTATGTCCATTCACTTGTGTATTATCTGGAACTTTCAAGCTACAATGATAGAGTCCAGTAGTTTTAATACTGTAGGGGCTGCAAAGCCAAAATTCATTGTCAGGCTTTTTTACAGAAAAAGTTTGCTGGCCCCCATGGCACACAAAGAAATGATAAACAGAGGAATGATACAAACATCAATTCCAGGGCTGTATCTCTTAGAAGAAAGGGACAGAGCCTCCCTTTACATTTTATTTTTGAAGTTGGAGGCCAGTTTCTATGGGTATCTGTAGTGTTATTCTTTATGCTTTTACATATGTCCTTGAATGTTGCATAATCAATTGAGGAAAAAGGCTCAATACTCCTAATCTCCTTGCCTCTAGTTTATTCAATTGTGTTATTTCCCGGCAACTATTTAAATAAAGGTAATAATGCTAGGTGCCAAGGAGCATAAGGTAAGTTTCCTAACACGATTCAACCAGGTTTCTCCAGACAATGAGCAAACGCTGCTTGCTCAGGCACTGGCATATGTGAAGGACAATGGCTTTTCATCCCACCTGTCATTATTCAGTGACAAGGACATTCCAGATGTACATAGCAGCCGGGCTTCTACGCGCTGATTGAGCATTTTCCATGGGCCAGGCCCTGAGCTAGGCCCTTCATGTAGGTCAGGGCTTGGCAAACTATGGTTCGTGGGCCAAATCTGGCCCACTGCCTGCTTGTGTCAATAAAATTTTATTGGAACACACATTCATTACATACTGTCCGTCTGCTTTCACGCTCCAGTGGCAGAATTGAGTAGTTGTGACCAAGACTGTGTAGGCCGCAAGGCCAAAACTATTCGCTATCCGGGCCCTTTACAGAAAAAGTAGCTGGGCGCCTAGGCAGATGATCTCATTGCATCTTCACAGCAACCGCAAGGAGGCCAGACGTGGTTTGGCTTCACTGTATGAACGACGAAACTCACCCGGGGCCTCAGGACCAGCAAGGGGCCGCGGTGGGGTGTGAGCCCAGGATGTGTGTGCTCTTACCACCTACGCTGTGCTGTCAGAGAACAGATGCTCTGAAAGTAACTGAAGCCATCCAATGACTTTGAACCAAATTAATTTCCCCCTGATGCCATGTTTTGTCTGAGAACAGGAGTGGGTTTCTCTTTTGTGCTGAAAAATAATATGGCTTCGTTTTTCTTGGCTGTCGGCCAGGCGGGTAACTTACGTGTGACTGTACCGCAAGTCTTCTAGCACAGGAGGGACAGAAAGTTAAAAGCGGTGCCCACACCTGTTGGCCAAGGTCTGTCACAGGTAATCCCCCAGGATTTATGGAATAGACACTCTGGCAGTGAAGCTTGGTCTTGGGCTTGAACTTCTGAGCCGGGCTGTCTGGGTTTAATTCCACCTCTGCTACTGACCTGGGTCACCTTGGGAGTTATTTGCCCTCTCTGAGCCCCCACAATGTATCCCTCAAAAGAGGATAATGGTGGGACCTTCCTCGTAGGGTTAAGGAATTAGTGGACACATAACACTGAGAACTGCAGGTGGCAGCTGCTCAACCATGCTGACCATTACCAACGCCTGACCCCAATGCCCACAGGACTTATCACTGCCACCTTTAGGACTGCTCTTGAATCTGCCTATTTCTGTGTGTACTGCCCTGTCCTGGGCTCTCACCATCACCACACTCCTTCCTGTTTCAGTCTCCCCTTGGCCTGCCTGCTTCTCCTCTGCTTCCCTGCAATCCAACGTCCCCATAGCAGCTAAATGACCTGAAAAACACCCAGAATATACCCTACATCCCTCATCTTATACACCTGCCAATTAGGGTTCCTGTTGTACTTGTAATAAAATCCCAAATCCTTCCCAGGCCTCTTGGGCTCTGCCCACCTTGTTCCCCACTGTGCCCCAGCTAACTGGGCTTCTGAGACTTGCCAAATGCCTTCCCATCCCAGGCCTTCCCACTGCGGTCCCCTCTGCCTGGATGCTCTGCCTCCCGAGCTTGCTCATGCTCAGCTCTCAGTGCTCAGCTCCTCATCTAAAAGGGCTGCCTGGCCCTGGAGCCTAAATTATTCTTTCTTTATAACTTGCATCCATATCATGACACCACCGCTCTCCTGGTTCCCCAGCTTGCTAACTGCAGATCTTAGAACTTCTCAGCCTTCATAATTGGGTGAGCCAATTCCTATCTATCTATCTATCTATCTATCTATCTATCTATCTATCATCTATCATCATCTCCATCCAATTGATTCTGTTATCCTGAAGCACCCTGGCCAATGCAGACAGGTGAGCAGTGGATGGTGGGCCTGGTTCACTGAGTCTCTAGTTCTTAGCAGTAAGGTTCTGACAGTCAAGGTCTGTAGCTCTGTTGATTTTGCCTTCCCAGCATCCAGTTTTCCTTCTGACACCATCATTGTGCTTTCCTTTAAGAGAACCATCCCTCCCACTTGTCTAAATCATAGTCTTCAGCACCCCAACCTTCTTGCCTTGTCACATGACCCAGTTTGGGCCAGTGAAGCTCAATATGGGATTTTGGTGGAACTACTGGGAAAGATGAGTTCTCCTTTCACTGGGAGTGCTGAGCTGAAAGGATGCAAACTCAGAGTTGACAGGCACCATCTTTGCAGCCACAGGAAAAGAACCTGTGTGGGAGTAAAACCAACTCAGGGAAAAACATCTGAGTATGGAGTGAGATGTATTCTTCCTGACATCATTTGAGCACCTGGACCCAGCCATTCCTAATGTCAGACCCCAGTGTGTGAATCATTAAATTTACATTTTCCCCTAAGCCAGCTTGGGTTAAGTTTCTTACTCTAGCAATCAAAAGAGGCCTTGATATAGTCTTTAGAACTTGAACCATATTTAATGTGTCTGTCCTCTTCTATTGCTAATACAAAATCAGGGTGGAATCACTTCTGATTTAACTGAGGCAATAGGACAGAAAAAAGACCACAATATTGGGGCCCCACCTGGAAGCAAGGGCTTTGGCTGGTACTCACTGTAAGAAGGTATCCCATAGGCTTGTGCTGGAGGTGGGTAAGCTGTGTAGGGGGTGGCCTGTTGGATCCCCGTGCTGTACTGTGTCTGGCCGTAGGCTGCCATGGCTGTGGGAGGCTGGCTGGACAGGACACGTGGGCAAGGTCTGCATGGAAGGAGAGAAGATGAAATCTCCAAGCCCAGCCCAGCATCCCCTCCCCCCTTTTTGGAATCAATACCACCATTTTCCTTTGGGTATTGACTCTTTCCAGGGCAGAAACAACGAACAAAAACTACAGCATTTCCTTTAAGATTGGGAACAAGACAGGATCGTCTGCTTTCACCACTCTTATTCACATTATTGGAAGTCTTAGCCACAGCGATCAGGCAAGAAGAAGAAATAAAAGGCATCCAAATTGAAAAGGAAGAAGTAAAACTGTCATTATTTGCAGATGACATAATACTGTATATAGAGAATCCTAAATATTCCACCAAAAAACTGTATAACAGAACTTGGTTGCTACTAACAACCCCAAAAACATCTGGAGGGAGGAGGAGGCTGGGTAAGATGCTCCTTAGAAATAGCTTCTCCAGGGTTGTCAAGGGAGGAGTACTTGACTAGAATGAATAAATAAATCCAGTAACGTAGCAGGATACAAAATAAATAGCCAGAAATTAGTTGAATTTTTATACACCAATAATGTACTATCAGAAAGGCATACTAAGAAAACAATCCCATTTACACTTTGTATAAAAAAAATACCTAGGACTACATTTAATCAAGGAAGTAAGAGACCTGTACTCAGAATATTATAAGACAATGAAGAAAGAAATTGAAGAAGATTAAAAATAAGTAGAGGTATATAACGTGTTCCTGGATAGGAAGAATTAACATCATTAAAATGTCCATACTACCCAGAATGACCAACAGATTCAAAGCAATTCCTATCAATGCATATTTCAAAGAACTAGAACAAATGTTCCAAAAATTTATAATAAAGACCCCTAATAGCCTCAGCAATCTTGAGAAAGAAAAATAAAGTTGGTGGGATCATGCTACCTGATATCAAACTATAATATATTAGAAGGCCAATCAAAACAGCATGATACTGGCATAAAAAACATCATAGAGATCAATGGAATAGAATAGAGAGCCCAGAAATAAACCCACACCGTTAATGGTCAATAAATATTTGACAAAAGAGGCAACAACATACACTAGGGTAAAAATAGTTTATTCAATAAATTATATTTGCACCCTAGCTGGTTTGGCTCAGTGGATAGAGCATCAGCCTGGGGACCGAAGGGTCCTGGGTTCGATTCCAGTTAGGGGCATATGCCCAGGCTGCGGGCTTGATCCCTAGTAGGGGGTGTGCATGAGGCAGCTATTGATGATTCTCTCTCGTCATTGATGTTTCCATCCCTCCCTCTCTCTCTCTCTCTCTCTCTCTCTCTCATACTCTCTGAAATCAATAAAAATATTTTTAAAATGATATTGGGAAAACAGGACAGATACTTGCATAAAATAAAACTAGACCACCTTCTTATGCCACACATGAGAATAAATTCAAAATGGATTAAAGACTTAAATGTTAGACTTGAAACCATAAAAATCCCAGAAGAAAACAGACAGTAAAATTTTGAACATTTCTCGTAGCAATATTTTTTCTGCTATATATTCTTGGGTAAAAGAAACAAAAGAAAAAAAAATGGAACTACATCAAACAAGTTTTTGCACAGCACAGGAAACCATCAACAAAATGAAAAGATAAGATCATATTTGCCAATGATCTTGCTAATGAGGGGTTAATATCCAAAATTTATAAAGAACTTATAAAATTCAATACTAAAAATACAAACAATCTAATTAAAAAATAGGCAAAGGACCTGAATAGACACGCCTCCAAAGAGGACAACAGATGGCCAAAATACATATGAAAAGATGCTCAAAGTCACTAATGAAACCACAATGAGATATCATCTGACAGCTGTCAGAATGGCTAACATCAATAAATTGACATATAACAAGTGCTGCTGAGGATGTGGAGAAAAGGGAACCCTGGTGCACTGTTGCTGGGGATGCAGACTGGTGTAGTCACTGTGGAAAGCGTCATGAAGTTAATGCCAAAAATTAAAAAGGTAACTGCCTTATGACCCAGTGATTCTAAAGAAACTTGAAACATTAATTCAAAAAATAATATATGCACCCCCATGTTGATTGCAATATTATTTACAATAGCCAAGATTTGAAAGCAGCCCAAATGTCCATCAGTAAATGAATGAATAAAAAAAGCTGTGATACATTTACACAATGGAATACTACTCAGTTGTAAAAAAGAAGGAATCTCACTTTTTTTTTTTGTGACAACATGGATGGACCTGGAGAACATTATGTTGTGTAAAATAAGCCAGTCAGAGGAAGACAAGACCATATGATTCCAGTTATATGTGGAAACTAATGAACAAAATAAACAAACAAAATAAGAACAGACTCATAGATATAGAGAACAGCTGTCTGATGGCGTTTGTGGGGACTGAGTAAAATGGTGAAGAAACCCCACCAAACTTCATAGACACAGACAAGAGTTTGGGTGGGGGAGATAGAAGAGGGAAAGGGAGAAGAGGGAAAAGGGTATAAATGGTGATAGGAGGATACTTGACTTGGGATCATGGACACACAATATACAGATGATGTATTATAGAATTGTACACCTGAAACCTATGTAATTTTATTAACCAGTGTCACTACCATAAATTCAATAAAAAAGAGTACAGAAACCTCAAAAAAAGTCCCTTTGGGCTTACATCAGCTGGAATCAATTTCTGTTACTTGCAACAAGAGAGCACAAATGGATTCTGCACTCGATGGTGAGTGACAGGTCCCATGAAGGGCTAGGATTTTAAGGGTTCCTTTCTAAGACATCTACACTAATAAAAGAGAAATATGCAAGTTGACAGTCACTTCATGACACCCATCAGCCAATCAGGAGTGAATATGCAAATTAACCCAACAAAGATGGAGGCAGTGATCCCCCGCCCCCAGCTGCTCTAGGCCTCTGGGCAGCACTCATGCAAGTGCCAAGCAGCTGGGCAGAGTGGGACACCTGCCATGAGGAGGAGGGTGGAGGGTGGAGGGAGCTACAGGAGTGGTGCTCCAGCTGGAATAAAGACTGAAGGCAGTGGCCAGAGCAAAGGCCTGGGAGCCAGGTGCTGGAGGAAAACTGGTGCTGGCAGCCAGGAAAAGGAAGGCCTATTACATAAATCTAGTGCAATGGGCCTCTAGTCTGTAATAAAGTAACTACTACCAATTACTGAGTGCTTACCATGGTTAGGAATTGTTACTGAGGCCCAATGCATGCATGAAATCTCATCATATGCTCATATCAACTCTCTGGTCGTGGGTGGGAGTCTTACACCTCTTATTTTAGAGAAGAGAAAATTGAAGCTCAGAGACCTGAAGTCACAGCTAGAAAGTTGGAAATCTAGAACTTAAACTCTGGAATCTGACCCCAGAGCCCACAGTTACATTGGGAACCATGAAACTTTGTTGCCTCTCAGTACTTCATTGAAGCAGCAATAAAAAAAAGTCAAGGTGGGCTGTTCTAACAGGAAGGGGGCAAGAGGGTGGCCCAGGAGCCATGTGCAGTCAATGCATCCATGGATATAATTTCTTTGGCCAGTAGTTATTTATTTGAATTCATTGCCAATATTTTAAAACCAGGAGGTTTCATTCTCTCCCCTTCCTTCATATTACCACTTCTCTTGCAAAGCAGAAGCTTTGGCAAGCTGAGTCTGCACTCTGGTGTAGCACCATAAGCTGGATTTGAGTAGCAGCCACCTCTTCAGACTACCACACTCTGTCAGCAACAGTCTCCACTGGACCACTTCATGTTGAAAACAGCTAACCATTCTCGTGCTTTTCACATGCCAGGCTCTACTGTCGAATTACTAAGTGGATTGGCTCATTCAAACCTCACAACTGTGACAACCCTTGGAGGTAGTGACAAATCATATCCCCATTTTCCAGGTAAGAAAACAGGCAAAGAGAGACTAAGCAATGTACTAAAGGAACCCACAGCTGATACAGAATTTGAACCCTGCTGGCAGAAGCCATGGCCTTAATTACTGCGCTATGCCCCCTCAGCCTATGCCCCCTCAGCCATCAAGTACACCTGGACACCACAGCCAGGTATACTTGATGTCCCGTATCTAACTATTCTAACAGGCATGTTTGCCAGTAAATGAGATTCCCCCATCTGTATCTAATTCTATTTTGGTTACATCACTTTAAAGAAAACCTGTTTGGTTCCAGAGTCCCTCCTACATAGGAAGCCTCATGGCAGGTGTGAGACGGATGCAATACTTCATGGAATGATAAAAGGATGTTCTCGTGTCTTTCTTTCTTTTTCATTACTCCTGTGATAGAGGGTTGGAGGAGTGGTTCCAAAATGCATATGAAACTCATTTGAACTGGAGACGCTAGAACCAATACGAGAAGGCGTTTGACCAGCTGATATTTTCTTCCTAGGAGGTGCCTGGAAATGCATCCAGTTGGTTGGGACCTAGCAGTGAACCTTATCGGAAATGTTCCCAATGGACAGCTGTCCTTAGAAGTAGAAAGTGGAAATCTGAGATGATCAACTCCTGCTTCCCATCAAAACCAATTTACCCCACTCGGATTAAACTGGGGCTGAAATGAAAACCTGGGAAAAGATGAGGGAGCTCTCTAATCCAGAGGCCATAAAATAAGCTAGTAAGAGTTAACAGACCTTGGTTGCTATTAACAACCCCAAAAACATCTGGAGGGAGGAGGAGGCTGGGTAAGATGCTCCTTAGAAATAGCTTCTCCAAGGCTGTCAAGGGAGGAGTACGTCCAGATAAGGAGTTGCTGGCCATTCCACAGGCCAAACCCAGAGGGCTCCCCAGGGCAGGTCACGGAGGGCCCTGGTAAGCTGTGTCCCTCCCTAAGTTCCCTCTGCCCAGCGCACATCCCCAATGGAGTGTTTCTGCAGCCGGCATGCAGTGTTGAGATTTCTGATTTACTGGCCCGTCTCCGCAATGGATTGGAAGCCTTCTGAGGCAGGGACCTCCCAGACTCCAGGGCTGTGTATGGGATTTGGTACCGAAGTGTGTTGAGTGAATATTGGAGCAGAAAGGATGAAAGGAAGGAGGATGAGGGAGGGAGAGAGGAAAGGAAAGAGAAAATGATGGGGAGGGGAGAAGGAAGGAGAGAGAGAGAGAGAGAGAGAGAGAGAGAGAGAGAGAGAGAGAGAGAGAGAGAGAGAGAGAGAGAGAGAGAACACAAACGAGTGCGCGTGCCAAAGAGAGGTGGGAGAGAGAAAGCAGTGATAGAGAAGAGGAAAGGAAAAAGGAAAAAAGAGACAAGGAAAAAGGGAGGAAGGAATTGAGAAAGAGTCTATGCATAGGAAAGGAGAAAAGAAAGGAAGGAAAAACTGAAAAATGAATGAAGAATGATGAAAAAAACCCTCACAACAGCCAACATTGAAACACTGTTCCAGGCCGCCTTCTTAGTGCTTTTTATGTTTTAGCTCATTTCATGGGACAGGCATCATGTCTGTCCCTCTTTTCCAGATGGTGAGACTGAGGCCCGGGGAGGTGTGTCCTTTGCTCAAGGTCGCTCAGTTAGTTAGAAGGCCTTGCAATTCCTCCCTAGGAGTCTGGCTCTAGGTATCTGTCCTCCAAGAGAGATAAAGGCAGAGGGTATGAGGAGCCAAGGTGAGGAGCCAAGGCAAGGAGCCAAGGCAAGGGTACTCACTTTGCCAAGAGCTGGGACACGCGTGGAAGGGCCGATGCGATGATGCCTGAAGGGAAAAGACAAAGTGGGAAGGCTTTAGTGACCAGAGTGGTGTCCCACAGCAGTTGTGGCTTCAGATGCCACTTTAAGTGGGAGAAACTTAGAGAGTGGCTGCTGGGATTTTCTCAACCACAGTAGCTCCCGTGAGGCACATCTTAACACTCTCCTTGAAAGCCCCTACTGGGAGAACTCTGTCTCCAGCACTGATTGAAGGACTACAGAGAATGACAGTACCTCAAAAAATCAATGTGGAATCCATCCTCCCACCCATTGCACAGGGAGAAACTGAGGCTCAGAGACAGAAAGAAGGTACTTGATCAGGTCATATGACTAGATAGTGGAGCAACTGGGACCTGAAGTTGGTTTCCTGACTCTCAATATCCATTTACCTTCTTCCGGTGACATGACGTTGATGTTTCCTCCCTCCCCAGTTTCAGTGCATGAGGTTCAGGTAGGGCTGGCCCCAGCACTGAGGGGGAGGCACCTCTCAGAGCATCTCCTAGGCTCCAGCGAGGGTATGCAGCAGGGAGATGGCAGTGGCCTGAGCTCCTGACTCATCCAAATCTCTGGGCACATAGCATTCAATCATCAGTAGGAGACAATAAGAGGAGGTGACAGAAAGGTGCTAGAATTAAGCAAGGAGAGATGTTTGCAAGAGAATAATTTTACAAATGGACAGTCCAACTTTATGTCATCTTTCATAACACAACTCAGTGTCCTCACTGTGAAACCCTGGAAAATCCTGGATCCCATGTCTACTGATGGCGCCAACCTGCCAATGCACAGTCTTTGGTGTGTAGGGCAGTGGCTTTAAGCTTGGGCCTGATCCTCTCCCAATCCCTGAGCTGGAGGCTAGAAAACCAACCTGCAATTCCAACTCTACCACGGGTAGCAGAGACTTTGGGCAGTTTCTCCTGTGAAATGGGGGAAAATCTTCATCTTACAAGGATGCATGAGAATTAAATGAGAAGATGACGAAGATGTCTATCATTGACTCAGTACCTGTGATGTGCCAAGCTTTCCTCTAAATTTGTTATCTGGATTAATTATCTTAATCCTCATCACCACCCCATCTAGTCACATCCTCCTGTTACAGATGAAGACCTGGAGGCACAGGAAGTTACTCACCCAAGGCCACACAGGTCTTACGGTGCAGATCTGTGATCTGAACCTGGGTGGTCTGGCTCTGGAGTCGGTTTTTGCAACCAGGACACTGCAGCCCACAGTGATGGCCAGCAGCTCTCACCCACTGAGAAGCTCACTATGTGCCAGGCTAGGAGTTCTCTGCCTATATGCATGATCTCATTTAGTCCTCACAAGGTGCAAGGCAGGCAATGGCATTCTCCCCAGCACACAGATGGAGGAACTGGGGAAGGCCAAGTGCCTTGTTCAAGCCAAACCACCTGTGGGCATGGGACCTGGGACTTGAACGCAAGGGTTATTTCACTGCCAGGTCATTTTTCCTAATCACCAGATTTAAATTATGAGTTAAAAACCACTGGGGTGAGGGTGGAGTCCTGAAGTCCATTTAGAGAGCTACAACTAGAATTAGAGAATAAAAGAGACAATATCAGTGTGGAATACTCAGAGTAAATAAGGAAAGGTGTGAAGCTTTTGTTCCAGCTTTAGACATGAGAATGGTGTGTGTGTGTGTGTGTGTGTGTGTGTGTGTGTGTGTGTGTACAGAATGGCAGTGTCAAAAACAGATTTCTTATGTGTCGTATTAAAAGAAAAGTTGAAGCAGGCTAATATCAAGGGAAGCCCCTGGCACACAGTAGGTGTTCATTCAATACTAATTTCCCTGCTCTGGGCAGGGCCTTCCACACCTCCTTCCTCATCCTCCCCAGGACTAGAGAATGAACTGTCTCATTCTGAAGCAGCCACAGTCTCATTATTGGTAAAAGCCTATGATCTGACTGTGTTAGGTACATAAGGTACTGAATTAAACATTTTTAATATGTTTTCTTTAATAAATATGTAAATATTCATATAAACCTGAATCTATGAAAACATTCCTATGGGCTAGGATCAATGTGGCAGCCAATAAATCTGAAGCGAGAGTCTTTGCCCCACAACCAATCTGCCATGATTTGCTTGTTCCCCTCACTCGGTTCCCTCTGTTCCTCTGAACTGTAGAGAGATCTGCCTTCCTCCCTCTCCTGCTGTGTAACCCTCTCCCATCCCCACCCTGGCAATCCCGGGAAAACTGTGCAAGCCAAACACAGGCATTGGGGAAGTGTAAAGATGGTGTGGGATGTGGTAAGGGGTCTCTCCACGATGCCAAAGTGTTACTGACCCTGGCAGAGGGTGTGAGGGGGCAAGTGTGCCGCACCCACATGGCCAGGTTCGATGAGCCTGAGAAGGGGTGGTGAAGGATTAAAGAAGACAGACAAAGGAATACAGCTGGGGTTAGGTGGGATCACTGTTCCTGGAAGAGGAAACAGTGACCCAGCCTGCAAGCCGAAGCTCTATTTTATAGTCAGAGCACACAAAACAACACGAGGGGAGTGGTCAACATGTTTACAGTGTTCTTGTGAGTTTCCCCTTATTTTAGCAGCACTTGCTGCACCTCCCACAGACCATTAGCTACCCAGGAAGGAACTAGGGAGGACTAGAAGGTCAAGCTTAATTATGCTAATAGGGCTTTGCCCTCCAAGCTGGGACTTGTTTGTGGCCCTGCCACAGGTCAATCCGAGGGTTGGCCCTATAGCCCCTCCCCAAGCATTCTGGCAATCTAGGGGAGTGATCACGCTGCTCATGGTCACCCCATCATATACACGGGGCTGTGAACAAGGGCCAGAAAAGTCTCTGACTCCTCTCTTCAAGTGAGCCCCATGCATCTTTGGGGTGGTGATGACAATCACATTCAGCAGCAGCAGCTCCGTTGATATTTGTGGGATCTGGTGCCTGTAGATGGAGATGGACTTCCTAGTGACCACAACTTCCTGCTCTTAACTTTGTCAGTGTCACTGAACTTGCCATGATGGGTGAGGGTGAGATCAAGGGGGGAGTCATTGATGGCAACTCCTATCCATGTTGCCAGTGGTGGAAGCAGCCCTGGTGGCTGACTCACCAGAGCCACATCTGTTGACTCCAGGCTCCACCGTGTGTCTCAGAGGGAGTGGCTGGCACACCAAATGGGGCAGGCAGCTCTCAAGAGGAGAGGAGAGAGCTCCATTTACTTCTGAATTTAAAACTCTAAGCCTGATCCTCCTCCCCAGCTTCCCATAGGTGAAGGGAAAAGGATGAGCTCAACAGATGGGCAGAACCTCTGGGATGAACTCATTCATTCATTCATTCATTCATTGCCCACCAGGTGCCAGGCTTATGCTAAGAATGGGGTTTCAATAGTGAACAAAAGCATTCAGGGTCCTGCCCTCATGAACCCTCCTGTTGAGCAGAGAGATGGATGGCAAACACAAATCACATCAATAAGTACTTCATTGTAATTATAACAAGGTACAAGGTGGAAAGTGGATGTTGTAGATCATTGCACCTGGAATCTTAACAGCACAGCTCTGGCCTAGGGATCTTGCTAAAATGCAAGGAAAGCTCCCAGGTGCTTGCTGACGAGGCAGGCCCAGGAGCCACACTCTGAGTAGAAGAGTATAGACCAGTGGTCAAACCGTGGCTCGAGAATCACATGCAGCTCTTTGGCCCCTTGAGTGTGGCTCTTCCATAAAATGCCACGTGCGGGCGCGCACGTACAGCGGGATTGAAACTTCGTGGCCCATGCGCAGGAGTTGGTTTTCGGCTCTCAAAAGAAATTTCAATTGTTGTACTGTTTATATTTGAGTCTGTTGACTAATGAGTTTGCCGACAACTGGTCTAGATCATGAGCTAGTAAAGAACCGCAAATTATGAAAAGGTATCACAATTCTGGGTTAATAAAAATAAATCTCCATTCCTGAAATTACAAACTCAAATGCATATTGGGACCAAGAAGGAATATAAATGAGCAAAATCAAGATCGCACTGTAATATGAAGAAACTAAAGCTGGGGTCTGTGTGTGTAAGTGCACACTTATGTATGACTGTGTGTGTATGTGATTGTATGAAGTAACTTGCCCACATTGTTCATTCATTCATGCACTCAACAAATGTTTATTATGCTCCTACTGTGAGCTAGATCTGCAATCCAAATCCCAGAATTTGTTAATTTAATATTCCTTCTGAAGAAAGCATGGGGACAAGAAGGGGTCAGATCCAAATTAAAATCCTATTCTGCTTCAATAAAACTGCGTGACTTTATGCCTGTGACCTTCTCTCTCTAAGCCTCGGTTTCTACATCTGCAAAATAGGGCAACATCTCACTCCCCACAGCTGCTGCAAAGATTACACAGGTATGTACTTACCACATGGTAACTGCTCAACAGGCAGCAGCTATTATTAGCTTCCCAGTCTCTAGAGGGCCCTCACTTAAGCCATTTAAATCCAGGAGCCCAATTTGAATGTTCACACTTTTTTTTCCCTTTACTTCTCACTGGGAGGATTAAGAAGCTAATGATTCTGAAAGCAGCAACCGCTATTAAGATATCTAACTGGCCCCCAGGGGCTGCTTCTAACTGATTTCCGAGATATGAGATAATTTCTAGTGAGATGTTCGGAAGCAGGTCTTTGCTATAAAAGGTGTGGGTCTATAACTGTATCAACTCAGTTCCTTCATGTGGGTGATAGAGATTGCTCTCGGACCAGGGGCAGGGACAGTAGGAGGAAGCACTGTATTAGAAGTCCAGAAGTGAGCACCTCAACTTTTTTTTTTTTTTTTACATTTTTTATTAAATTATTATCTGTGTATATATTTTAACATTGCTCCCCCTCCCATACTTACCCTCCCTCCCCAGAGTTTTATGTCCATTGGTTAAGACCTCAACTTTGACTCTCATTGAGTGACCATGTGACAGTGAAGAAGTCATTTGTCCATCTTGGGGCTGTTCCTGAGGACTGAAAGGCATGAAGCCAGAGAATCCCAGGGTGTGGGGATTTGAGGGACTATGCATATACACATTTTTATATTTAGATCATCACAGACTTATCTTAAGGAGTATGAGAATCACAAAAGTGTACCAGAGTTGTAATTTTTCATTTCTGGAATTGGCCTTAAGTCATCCTTTTAAAACGAATTTATTGAAAGGGAGTTGCTTTAAAGAAAAATGAGTAAGCAAGTGACAGTATGAATATATGGCAGAGAAAGGGGCTTGAGAATGTGTGAAGTTTGTGAGATGCCATCATAAGTGAAAGACCTTTGCCCATGGAGGAGGGCATTAGGTAATTCATAATACTCAGTGCCCTGTCTCAAAAAGAAGGGATTGTTAATTTCCTTAACGCTAAACTAATTCTGTTCTGTGCCAGCAGGGGTCATTCTGGGTGCCAATTCACCCAGGAAGCCAGCTGAGATAGAGGTGGGAAAGGTGAAGGTGACCTGTGGCTGCCCGGGTGAGGACCTGTGCAAAGCTCTGGGCAGCTCAATCGGGCTTGGGTGGAATGCACAGAGCCTGCCAGCCCCAGGCTGGAACCGGTGAGACTGAAACTCACAATCAGACCTGGCCAGGCGCAGGGCAGAGGAGTTGAGTTGCAGGAAGTCTGAGAGAAGATGACAGCCCAGCTTGTGCCATAGGGTGGTGGTTTCGCCTCTCCAAGGAAACCCTTAAAGAGATTATAGCCTTGGCTTTTGCAAAATGTATCTGCATTTTAAAAAAATATATTTTTATTGATTTCAGAAAGGAAGGGAGAGGGAGAGGGAGAAACATCAATGATGAGAGAGAATCATTGATTGGCTGCCTCTTGCATGCCCCTCACTGGAGATGGAGCCTGCAGCCTGGGCATGTGCCCTGATCGGGAATTGAACCATGATCTCCTGGTTGGTCAGCACTCAACCACTGAGCCACCCTGACTGGGCTTTATCTGCATTTTAAAAGAAAAAAATTTCTCTATTCAACTTTACTTTCTTAATTCTGTAACTTCCCTGCCACCCTTCTTCCAGAAGATGGAACATGATTCAAATCCAATTTTCCATTGAATGGTAACGAAGGATAGCTAATATTTCTCGAGTGGTTCCAACAGGTCAGGCACTGTGCTAAAGGATTGCATGGCTCTTATCTCTTTTATTCCCACAACAATCCAATGAGGAAGTTATATTATCTGTAATTCTCACACCTGCAAAATGAGGTTGGTGAAGTAAAGGAAACTTTATTAAGAGTTTAAAGCCAATATCAACCTGAAGTTATCTGTGATTCCTCAAGACTGCTCTGTATTCATCCAACTGCCCATCCATGCACTTGCCCATCCATCCATCCATCCATCCATCCATCTTCCATTCAGCTATTCATTTATCCATCCATCTACTCACTCATCTATTCACCTATCTATCCATCCATTCATCTATCCATCCACCCACCCACCTACTGACCTGTTCATCCATCCACCTATCTATCTATGCACCCCCCACCATAAATAATTTTGGGGCATTTACCATGAGCCAGGCACTGAGCAATGTACTCATTTGGAACAGAAATGGAAATACATACATACAAATTAAAAATTATCTTTGTCTTGGAGGAATTTAGTATCTAGAACAACAGTTCCCAACCCTGGGTGCACAAAAAACTCGTTTGAAGAGCTTAAAAAAAATCTTATTGTTTAGGTCACACTTCTGACCAATTAGACTCTCTGAGGGTAGGATTTGGACATTAGCATTAATTTTTTTTTTTCACTTCCCAAGGGACTCCAACGTATAGCCAGATTTAAAACCAGTACTGGAACCTGGTCCTTAGAGTGTGGTCACTGGACCAGCAGCATCAGATTTCTGGGCACTTGTTAGAAATGCACATTCTCCGAGTCCCCGCCCAAACCTTTATAGAATCAGAAATGCTCGGGGTGGGGCTCTTTGATCTGTGTGCTAACAGAACTTCCAAGGTGATTTGATGCACAAGAGGATTTGAAAACCACCAGCTAGCACCTTGCTACTCAGAGTGCTGGTGAACCACAGCCTAGGCATTACCTGGGTGCTTGTTAGAAATGTAGACTCTGAGGCTGGATCAGAATCTGTGGTTCAACAAGGTCCCCAGGTGATTCTCTGCACATTAAAGATCAATGACTAGGGGGACTCTGGAGCCCAAGTGCCTGGGTTTGATTCCTGGCCCTGCCACTCAACCTGTACGACTTTAAGCTGGTTACTTAACTTGGCCTCAGCGTCCGCACCTGGAAAGCGGGATCCTAGCCTAACAGGAGAGTGATATTACATGAGAAACAGTCAGTGTACTCCTGACGGAACGGACTTCGGAGTCAGACCACCCAGGTTCCATTGTGGCTGTCGCTAAGCTGCGCCTCTGACCAAGCTGCGTAACGACCCTGAGCTGCCTTTCCTCTCGTGTAAAGGGAGGTCAGTAAGCCTCCACTTCTCAGAGTTGTGGGGCCTGAGTGCGTTCAGACATTAACGTCGGGGACACGGCCCAGTGTTCGCTACGATGGTGACAGTGGAAGAGGAGGAGAACTGATCTAGATTTACACTGCTTTGAGTGGTGCCGGGCACAGAGTATGTGCACCTATGGGACAACTGCCCCAGGCTCCCAGGTCCGGGGTCTCTAAAGCGCTCAGCATTTCAAAAGAAACTGGAAATCCAGATTTTCGTCTGAACCGTCCAATTTTTATAACTTTTACTTAAAACATGGTGTAACACACACACACACACACACAGACAAAACAAAACAAACAAACAAAAAAACAAAATCAAAACCAAAACAAGCAAACAAAAAAGCCGGCATGCCTGAAAGTTAGACTGGCCTGTGAGCTGCCAGTTTGCAATGTGCAACTGTGGCTTTGAACTCACTGTGGTTACTGGAGTCAGAGGACAAAGACAATGGAATGATACGTTAAACCATTGTACCATGCCCCCAAGCTGGGCCAGGCACTTTGTATAATATTATTTCATTCCATCTTGCAATAAGTGCCCTGTCATGATTATGCCCCCCTTTGATAGAAAATGGAGAAAACGGAGGCACAGAAAAGCTCAACAATTTGCCCAAGACCATCGGGCGGGTTGGCAGTGGAGCTGGGACTCAGACTTGGGTTTTCCTTACTCACAGCCTATGCCTCAGTCCCATCTCCTGGCTCTGAAATGAAGATGATCTTAAGGTAACTTGTGCCTTTTTTCTATAGAGAGAAAAGGATGACTGACTTTGAATGGGGCTCAATACATCTTCTCCAATTCTGTAAGAGCCCCAGGGCTTTCCACACACACTCCTAAGTGCCAGGGAGAACGAGGTGGTGTTCTCTGCCCTGCGGTTTGGGCATGGGAGCCCAGCCCCTGTTGGTGGCACTCAGAGGAGGCTTGTTCCCGCTTCATCACCGGCATGGAAAGGAAATGTCATAATCATGGTGACATCAATAATGACTCCCAGAAGCCTGGAGTTGCTTAAAAGCAAATTCCTTGTGACGTTATAGTACAACTAGAAACACATCTGGTTTTCCACGACAGTTACATAGCATTTGTGCCCCATGAACTGGCATCAAACCCAGATGGTGAAGGAGAGACAGCTGGGGGGGGGGAGGGGTCCCAGGGTACAGGCAGCGAATCCCACAACTGGCCCAATAAAGGGTTAAGCCCAATGGTAAACAGAATAGCTTAATGCCTTTTGTTAACTCCAGCTCTGCCAGAAAGGCTGACAGATCCCAAACAAGCAAACAATAGCTGGAATTGTTCTAGTGAAAACTCGTCTGGCTGCATCATTTGCCAATAATTTTAAAAACAGCATAACTCTCCTCTGCTTCCTTGACTTCAACCCGACCAGAAAGCAAAAGGTGGACGGGTTCTTGTCCCAACACCAACCCTCTTTAGACAAGACGCCTGCTTGGAGGGCAGGAGGGCGCGGAGGGACAGGGCGCGGAGACCAGGACAGCCCTGGAACACGCCTGAAACTGTCTACATCTGGGAAGGTGTCAGCAATTCTTGGAATTGGAGACTGAGACAGGAAGTTCAGAGCATGAACGAGCACACTTTCCCCGCCAATGACTAGACAGAATTGTCAGCAACGTATGCTAAAGTTTTGGTCCAGAGGCAACAATCTAAATGACCGGAGGAGAAACTGTTCTAACGACGGTACTTTTGAAAGGATGGTTGACTAACTCTGATAGCCCCTTACTCTATTCCGCCGGCAGGACAGGGACCACCTCCGGTCCACCATGGCTCACGCCAGGAGGCCTACCTTCTGTGCCACTCAGAGTCCGGACATCGGCGTCAGCAGTGAGCTTCAGTTTACCCACACAGGTGCTGTTTACAGTAAGACTGGGTGAGAGCACTAGTTCTAGCATTTCCTTGTACCTGAAAGAAAACAAAGGGAAATGTAATTTATTCATCAATTATGCATGCTTACTAATGATTTCTCTTTCTTTCCCTAAGAGTATAAATATGAAAGCTGATTACCTAAAGCCAGCCGTCTTTTAAATTCTACATCATAAAAATTCACTAAACTTTTCATCAGAGGGAAACGAGGCATTGAAATGAAGTACTTGCTCCCCTCGGGAGAATACGCCCACTTGATTAAAACTTTCCCCTTCTTCCGCCTATATTTTGCCATTAGAAAAAATTACCATTTGGTCTCTTTCAAATGCCATGTGAATGAGCTGGAGTGAGCCAGGGGAGACTTCTCAGGAGAAGAAAGGAGACACGGTAGGGAGAAGTGTTTGAATTTAGATTCCTCAAAGCCAGAGGGGTGGGGAGAAGTCCGAATTGACTGTCGTTAAGAGGGGAAACGGATAAGGTATTCCAGGGTGTGACTTGCTCAGATGGAGAAAGGCTCCGAAGGCATCACTGATATTGAAGTCCCTCTCTAGGCAGCAAAACTCACAGCCCATCATTGCGGTCCCTCCCCAGAAAGAACACAGTAGCTCCTGCATTACTTACAATTTTGATAAAATGTGAACGGAGGCAGGGACAAGTCTCCTGGGCTGTTTGATTGAAAACTTTTCCAACCCTTGCACCATGTCAGTACTTATTCCTCCCAAATTCCTACCCACTGTGGTTAGGAAATGAGGTTTCCGGTTCATGAGCACAACATTGTACATGGCAGTTAGCAAAGGACTCAACTACAACCAGCACCATTTGGCACTGACTCAAGCTGTCCTCAGAGAAAGGCTAAGTTTACTGGCTGCACATCCGTATCTAAGGTCAGGATCCGGATATCATTGTGTTAATAAACGCCACGTACTGACTGAAGGCGAAGTGGTTATGAACTCGGATTTCTTCATGAAAAGGTTGTGGGTTCAAATTCCAGTGTCACTATTCCCTAGCCAGAGCAAGTGACCAAAGTGCTGTAAGTCAAAAGTGTTCTCACCTGGATAGTGGGAGTTATTAAAGTGCCTCCTTGACGAGGTCATGGTGAGATGGAAAGAGATGATACATGTAAAGAAAGGACTTAGCAGTGGCAAGCCAAATGCCCATGAGTAACCAGGCAGTATGCTCACACAATGGAATACAATACAGCTGTGCAAAAGGCTGAAGGAAGCACAACAGACAGATTGCCAGGCAAAGTTCTGAGCAAAAAGGTAGGAGGATAACCAAGGGATGATATTACTTCCATGAAGTGCAAAATACACAAACCAGTATTATATACTGCTTAGGGATACAGACATATGCAATAAAAATATAACAGTATGTAGAGAAACAATAGACCCCTATTTCAGGACAATGGTTAACTCCAGGAACAGTAGGAGGGAGGGGGGCAATTTGGGAAGTGGTACCTTGGGAGTGTCACCTCTGTGTGACATTTTCATTCAGGGGTTGACATTGACTGTGGCCCATCAAAATCCAGCCTGCCATCTGTTTTGTGTGACCCAAGGATTACTTTTCCATTTTTAAATGGTTGAAAACAATCCAAAGAAGAATAACATTTCAGGATGTGAAAATTATATAAAATTCAAATTTCAGTGTTCATAAATAAAGTCTTTTCGTGCATAGCTCCAAATTGTCCATGACCACTTTCATGCTGCAACTTCTGAGTAACTGTGGTGGAGACCCACAAATATTTAATATCTGCCAGAAAATATTTACCAGCTCAGTTTCAGTTTGTAAACAGGGTGATGGGCATACTTCTGTTATCCTCTGTTTCCTGGTTACCTCTGCTATCTGGCATCTTTGTGTGCCTGAAACACTTAATTAAAAATGTTTTCATTGATTTTACAGCGAGAGAGGAATGGAGAGGGATTGAACCAGGGACCTGGGCATGTGTCTTGATCAGGAATCGACCTGGTGACCTTTCCGTGCATGGACAATGTTCAACCATCTGAGTCACACTGGCCAGGGCTGAACCACTTAATTTTTTTTTTTAAAAGAAATAAATCAGTTATTGTAGGTCTTACACATATGAAGTATTTTTATATATACTTTTTGATCTGATAAAAAGAATTCCACACAAATCAGCTTCTACTGCTTATATATTTATATTATTGGATTCACACTTAGTTCCTAAATGTTCCCAGGTATGCATGTATGCTGTGTGCCTGTTTTCTTGTTCCCTGAATGCCACAGACACTCCAGGAGAGAGGCCTAGAAGTCTCATTCTTTGAATACTTCAAACATGTTGTACGGAGCTCAGCAAATAACAGACATTGAACCTATTGTCTGACTGTAGGTGCCAGAAATTTGCATTTTATCTAAACTCATTCCCTTCATCCTTTTGCACAAACATTATTCAGGGTTAAAAAATAAGCAATGATGTAAAAGACAGCACTGGTCTCTAAATATCCAGATGCTATGAGTATGGGTATTAGAGGCAGCAAATTGTTAAAGGACCAAATCCAATTAAAAACAAAATGAATTGTCTCTCTGCATCTTCAGGGTTTAAAAGTCATTGTCAATATTTTTTTAAAATACATTTTATTGATTTTTCATAGAAAGGAAGGGAGAGGGATAGATAGCTACAAACATCAATGAGAGAGAATCATCGACCAGCTGCCTCCTGCACACCCCCTGGGGATGTGCCCGCAACCAATGTACATGCCCTTAACCGGAATCGAACCTGGGACCTTTCAGTCCGCAGACCGACGCTCTATCCACTGAGCCAAACCGGTTTCGGCCATTGTCAATATTTTAAAGTAAAGCAATTTCATACAGAAACTTAGATTTTCAACTTCTCTTGAAAAATGGAAGAATAGTGCCACATTTCTGCATGACAACAATTGGCTGGAGCTGAGTAGTGGCAGACCAACTTAGTGAAGGCCTATAGGCTCCAGTTTGCCATAGTCCCCATCCCTCCCTAGTGTCTTATATTTGACTCTCCTTTTCCATTTATATTTCCTCCTGGTCTCTATAAGCCTTTGCATTTGAAATCCATCAGGAAAGCCTGACAAGAAAAGAAATAGCAATGTGACTTCTGGCCTCAGTCAAATAGCTTATTTATTTTACTGAGTGTTGCTGTCATCCTCAAGAGCTCTTAGCACATCCAAACAGCATTTGTTGACATTACAGCAGAGCAGGAATGTGTTTGTGAGTTTTAACTCTGGGACAGAGTATTGCTGCTAAAGCTTTTGGTGTCTTCACCCCTTGCCTAATATCCTTGCAGGCCAAGCAACATGGAAATCATCTGTATTTTCCAACAGCACTTGACACAGAATCTTATTCATTCTGTCATCTGATTGACACCTGTGGAGATAGGAAGAAGGAAGGCGTGGAGGATGAGAGGGACTAGAAAGGAGGGAGGAAATCTAGAAGTGAGTTATTAGCTTCTTTCAACAATATTTTTAAAAATTCCTGTTTATCCTCATTTCCAATTCATCCTACATATAATAATAACTCTAATGTATTAAATGTGTCTTCTTAAACGATGTCATGTTTTTTTTTATGTGACAGACATGTTTTAATTTACATGAATAGTGTTGTCTTTGAGATCTCATTCTGTTAATTAGACTTCACCCCTAGACTGCACTATGATTTTAAAATGGATACATATTGCTGGATGATTCTCTAGCTTATGGCTAGAAATCCATATTGTATAACCTCTCCATTTATTTATGCATTGCCCTAATGATGAACATGTAGGAAGACTTCATCTCTCAGCCATCATAAACAATGCTGCAATGAACATATTCATTTGAATAAATAAATATTTTAAAATATAAAACATAATTAAATCATAAAACATTTATGTATAAACACATATATTCTTTATATATATAAATATGTTTGATGATTATATATATAATATGGAGGATTTCTGTGCCATTGGGTATACATGAACTCAACTTCGCAAAGTACTAGCAGACTGTTCTTCATAATTCCTGTATTAATCTAGATTCTCACCCGAAGTGCATAAACATTCTAGTTTCATAAATTCTTTTTTTTAAAAAAAATCTTTTTTAAACTATTTCATAAGTCTCCTTTTCCCCACATTGACCTCTCCCTGCCCACTCCTGCCTCCCAGCACCTGCCCCACCCCCCTATTGTCTGTGTCCATTGGTCATGCTCATATGCATAGATACAAGTCCTTTGGTTGTTCTCTTACCCTCCCGGTAGTTTGATAAATTCTTGCTAACACCTTGCATTGTCCACCTTTCTAATTTTTGCCAAGTTGAAGGGGTGCAAAATTGTACCTTAGTTGTTTCAAGTTGTATTTCTAAAACTACTAGTGAGTTTGAACATATATTCAACCTAATTATGGGGCATATAAGTTTTGGAGAACTGTCTATTTGTATCTTTTATCCTTACCAATTTTTCTATTGGATTTTTTGTTTGTTTTCTTGTTGGGTTGTTGGAGTGCCTTGTAGAATCTAGAATTCTATGTTTTTAGATGCTATAAGTTTCCTTAATCTTTCATTTTCTTTATTTATAGTGTTGTATAGAATTAAAAATGTCATGTATTTGCCCAATAAGTTCTCCCCACACCCCAAATATAAAAATTCTTCCCCTAATCCATAAACATTAAAGTTTGTCTACATTTTAACTATTGACATGGAACTTTTTCATACTTAAGTCTTTAATTCATCTGAAGTCTTCCACTTAATATGATTTAAAATTGCATTTCCCTCCAATATCATGGAAATGAAAATAAGCCATTTCCCCTAATATGTATTCAACCCTCTAACTGAATTTACTCCTCAGATATTCGGGGGTAGTTTTTATTTTGGTTTAATCTCATTACACAATAAAAAAAAAAAAATAAAAGCCACAAAACATTGTTTTAAGACATCGGAGGACAACCAAGGCAGGCGTGAGGGCCCAGAATCCTAGAGAAATGAGAAATGGACTGAATTAAGTATGACCTCTACCACTTTTTCTTGCAAGACATTTGCCATTTTATAAGCACAGAGGAAGGAAG